ACGGCGAGTAGGTACCTTGCATTCCGACAGGTAGCGCGTGAAGAGTCGAGCCAGAGTTTTGATGATAACTGGCGGTGCATTCTTCAGATGTTCCGGTTTAACCCTGTCGAGACCGGGTGCTGTACGATTCTTCACCGACTTGATGGCGTGTCGGACTTCGGAAGAGAGAACTGAGGGGACGACGTATCCATCCTGTTGCAGTTGATAAGTAGGCAGATGGACATGGCTATCGAAGAGATCCGAGTAGAAGTCGTGGATGACTTTCTCCATTGCCCTTCGGGATGCAGTAACTGTTCCATCCGGACGTCGGAGGCAGGTCATCTTGGTCTTGTAGCTGGCAAAGCTTCGGCGGGCATTGCGGATGCTAGCTAAGCATGCAGTCTCCTGGTGACTTGCGAATCTCTGCCTTCCTACCGCTATCGTGAAGATGTTCAACGAGCCGATGATATTCCTCGTCGATGTTTTCGATGACGGAATCCTCCCATAAGCTGACGAGGGAAGCGAAGTGGTCCCAGTTGATGACTGTCCTGGGGCTTCGCTTCCTGAACTTTGCTGCTCTCTCAACACGCATCGAAAAGTGGAATCTTGCGCGGAGGAGACGATGGTCCGATCCCGTGTAGAACTTCGGAACAACAGCGACGTCGGTCAGGCAAAACCTTCGATTGAAGATGATGTGGTCTATCTCGTTATGGAACTGTCCATCAGGTGACTCCCAAGTCCAACGAAGGTGAGGGGCTTTTGGAACTGTGAGTTACCATGGATGGTGTTGGTCGACATGATAAACTCCGACAGTCTCTTCCCTGTAGAACTTCTCCAATTCCATATAAATGCTTCGTGTTCCTCCTCGTCGTAGCTGGATGTTGGTGCGTAGGCGACGAAGATTGTCAAAGCAGGAGTTGAACCACATCTTCTCAATCTCAAACGTCCGATTCGGGTCGTAAGGCTTTCGTACGAATCGATGTTTATGGCCAAGTGCGTGTTGACGAGGACACCCACACCGCCAACGCCTCTGCTGTCGCATGTTCCAAGGAACAGTTCTTCTCCAGTATCGAAAACGGCGTGTAGCGGGCGGTGCCTTCTCGTCTCGGTCAGTCCGATGACGTCGTACTTGATCTTCCTGGCCTGCATCATCAGATCTTCGATGTGAGCTTCGGATGCAAGCGTTCGTGCGTTGAAAGTACAGATCGCCATCTTAGTCCTTCTTCGTTTAGGCAGCCTATCCGGGCCCTGAGATTCTAGCAGCCTCTCCCGAGCGGTCCTACCCAACGCTGCCGTATTGGGGGCTCCCTCAAGTTCAGGGTTTGTAAAATAGAAGGATGATCAAAAGAAGAGGTCAGGGGTTTATATAATAGGTTTAGGTTGTTTAGGAGGATATCCTTCATTCACGACGCAGCAGCCACGGCGCGAAGTGGACAAAGCCGAGTTGCAATTAATTCCCTAACGCAAAAAATGCACTAATGTGAAGATTGCCTGCGCAAGGCCGGTTTGACTAGTAATCAAGACCACTGCAATATCAGTGCGCGGCGGTGACCTATCCCAACTCCCATAGATGTGTGACTGAATTGGGATAATATTATACAAGTGTAGTTCAACAAAGATCTTGTCCTTCCCACGTTTCTCACATCCTGCGAACAGAACTTAACGTCCTTCAAGAAAGAGCTAAGCTTCAAAGGAACTGATGTGGTGAAACAAATGTGTACTGTACTATGGTGATCG